TGCTTCAAGAAGGACCGGCCTGTGTGGTGCTGCTTAACTGACCCTGGCCCTGGCCCGGGGAAGCCGATGCATGTAGCCAGGTGGGGTTGAATGGTGTAAGCGCTGCTGCTGAGGGGCAGAAGAGCGGCTCATCTCCCAATGGCGCTCAGCAGCGAGACAGAGTCGCGAATCTACCGCTCCCTGCGAGCCGTCTCCGGCGTCACTGCCCACCTCGTCTCGCTTGGATTCACCATCTTTGTGGCCATACTGGCCAGGCCTGGGTCGAGTAAGTAGAAGCCAGCAGTGGGCAGACCCGGACACAGGCTGTGGTTGGAATGTGGGGCATCCCATTAGTCCTTCTGAAGCTCAGCAGCGAGACAGAGTCGCGAATCTACCGCTCCCTGCGAGCCGTCTCCGGCGTCACTGCCCACCTCGTCTCGCTTGGATTCACCATCTTTGTGGCCATACTGGCCAGGCCTGGGTCGAGTAAGTAGAAGCCAGCAGTGGGCAGACCCGGACACAGGCTGTGGTTGGAATGTGGGGCATCCCATTAGTCCTTCTGAACGGGGCAGGCTGGGGCCAGAGGACACAAGCAGGCCGTGGGTCAGCTCCCAGGGAGCTCTGCCAAGCCTGAGCTGCAGCCCTGGCTGCTGAGTCCTGCCCCTCTGGGCCAATGCCCGGCAAGCAGCGTGCCATGGAACGCTCCCACTGGCCTAGCCCCCTGCTCTGCTAATGCCCCTGGCTCCTGGGCGGCTGCATTCCCAGTTCCCCAGCACCAGGCCTCTGCAGCCAGACGCCTGTGTAACGTGTGGCAACCGCCTGCTTCAGCAGGTCTGGCCACAGCTCACCCTGGGGGGAATCCCACCCACAGGGGTGGGACAGGAAGTGCTGTCAAAGGAAGTTGACAGGAAAGGAACACTCTGCGCTTAAGTTGGCGGGGGGGGGAGCCGCGCTCGGGGGTAGCTGGAGAAGCAAGAGGAGCCCTCTGGCACCCTAGAGACTAACAGATTTAGTTGGGCAGACGCTTTCATGGGCGAAACCCACTTCCTCAGTTGCATGGAGTGAAAACTCCCCGCCCTTGATGGGGGGCTGTGAATTCCAAGGGGTAGTAGGGATGTAAAATCCCGGCTAATCAGTTAAACGTTATGTGTAAGCGGTTAACCACTTACATGGGATCTCGTGGGTGGGGGATTGCTTCAGCCAGCCAGCCTGGAGGCGCCCCCT